CCCCCCCCCCCCCAATAATTTTTTCTTTCTCTGCCTGTGTTGTCACTCCCACAATGCACCGCACAAAGCAGGTGAGTGCGGGCTTCCGCGGCACCAATCACATAAGAGTGAATTTACCTCACATATAATGAATTTTTGGTATAAAAAGGGTCATTGCCTAAGAGCAAATTCGCACATACGCAGCCCGCGTAAAGCGAGGGAAACCCAGAAAAGAAACCTGATCTAGGCCTGAGCCTCTCATTGCCAAGCTCCTGTCCAGCACAGATAGAAGAGGTCCATGTCGACTTCCCCTCTCCACCCCAGCAACATTTGACCTATTATTTATGGAGATGTTTTCTGAAGTGAATTCATTAGTGTAGGGAATGGGTTGGCTGCAGATAGCATTGCTTTCTGTTTGCTACGGCAGCCGTGTGAATGGCATGCATACACCTGTGTAAGGCAACGTCTTGTTGCAAATCTTGACTGCTCAACTGCTTTCGGTTAAAGACTAATCAAGGCAAAGTTTCCATGAAGTATTATTTATTGCGACATTTCCAGCTTACAGCACATACAGCAAACGCATTTGGTCTCACGCAAGGAAAAGGAATGGTTTTTTTGTAGGTGGAAGCCCGGCTTTGTCTTTTGAAAGGATTATTTTGCTGCGGGGCTTTATTGTGATATGTTGAGTGTATGTTAGGACACTTCACATGGTAAAGAAGCCAATGAAGGGCTTTATTTAAATCCAGAGATAAAACAAGTCAGAACACAGAAGCCTGCATCTTAGTAGAAGAAATAGCACCTGATTTTAGTAACAAGAAAAACCACAGAACAGTCTCGTTCCTGATGCAAGCTGTGTGCGCAGCTGTTTCAGTAAAGCATGAAGTAATCCCAGTTTAAAAAACAAAGCACTCAAAGTCTATCAAAATACAACACTGGTATCACTTTGATGGATGCATTTGGTATAACAGATATTTCTCTCTTTTTTTCCCCTCCCCAGGAATTGCAGAGTTTCAAAAAATAGTGGGTAGCTTAATTGAACTTGTTGATCAACTAGCAAAAGCAGCTGAAAGCGAGAAGATGAAGGTACTGTGCAATTATTATCTAATGCTATCTTCTGCCTCTGCAAGTAAAGACTGCCCCTCCCTCATTTCACATTCAAAGCAATCTGTAGCAATCCATCTGAAATAGACAGTTGCAGATGGTGGTGTGTGCGGGATCTCTGGAGTGACAGCCAGGTCTCCCCTTATCAAGGTGTATAAAGAACCATTGACAGATTCTGACAAGCACGCTCATTATAGTGTCACATCGCTCTTGTATTTGCATTATCCCAGCCCTACCGGTTGTTGGCATATGTGCAGGTAAACACGCTTTCTAATCAGGTTCTTTCTTCCGCTAATTTGTTCCAAAGGACCCAAATTTTGTATGTGCAGCATCATTCAGAAAGCGTCACCAGGGAGAGCATCGTCATTGAAGGGATTTGGCAGAAGAAAGAGGTTGATTAGAGAAAAAAGCATTTACATACATACTAATGATAGCTCCTTCTGTGAACTCCATTGTTGATGTATACGTAGACAGACACATCACCAATCTGTACATTTTATAGGTTAATTTAGAAATATGTAGTATGATAAACAAGCAAATGTATTGTCATCTTGATTTGGGGGGGGGGGCAAATCGGAATTAGCTGTCACCTCTCTGCTTACCTGTCCTTCCCTTGTACGAGTTGTCAATGATCCCATAATATTTCTAGACAAGGCTTTCCCACTGCCCTCTCTGTGGCTTGGCCAAATTACCAGCAATAGTAGTGTTAGCTTCCCCTGACAGGAAAGCAGTGCTATTACCTAACTTGGTAGTATGCCACTACTAGTTTACTAATGTCTGTGCAAAGCTAGCAAGCCTCTGATCCACAGAAATACACCTTGTGCATGACATTCCACAGCTACAAAGGTGATAGATTTGTAGAGACTCTGTCTGTACCACAAACTCTCTTACCATCTATCTTGCTTTGCTCTATACTATGTGTGGGTCAGATATCGTGGCAAATCTTAGGTTTGAAGAGGAAATCCTATGAAAATGTTATTCTTCTCGGTGCCCAACTGTTTTAAAAGGACCTGAAAATTGTCCAGCTGGAAATGACAGTAGCAACACATTAATGATAAAATTCCTTTGCTAAAAAGCAATCTTGTTTCTATAGGCAATTGGTGCCCGAAATTTGCTAAAGTCTATAGCTAAGCAAAGGGAAGCACAGCAACAGCAGCTTCAGGCTTTAATAACTGAGAAGAAAATGCAATTGGAAAGGTAAGTTTGTGCGTACATGAAGCCAAGATTGAGAGCTCTCTCTGGAAGTCTGATTTGATCTTTTGAAAGATAATACTGTAACAAACATGATTTATTCAGTTTGTGAATTCTGCTGTGATTATGCAAGTTAAATGCTTAGTCTTAACATGTACACTCCCGTCTACAAGGGAGCATTCACCAGGGCTTTGGATTTTAATTGTACAGTCCATCTTCAGCAGTTTGGCCAGTGGGGCTAAAACAAAGCCTGGTCTTGCATTCCTGACAAACCAGTGGCCGGCTAAGGGCAGGCTAGGAAAACTGTCCTTCAGTGTTCAGTTTGCTCACTTTTTTTAAAGGTAGTTCAGCATTGATCTTCTCAGTGGTGCAAGGCCTAAGTCATTTAGATAGCTAAATTCTATTTTCAAAGTGACGCAGGAGCCTAAAGCATACTGATTTCCCTCTACCCCAAAAGGCTTACGTCACTCTTGGAAATGGAACTTAGTCACTTAAATCACAGCAGGGACTAAACACAACATTTTAACCTCTCTCTCTTTCAGATATCGAGTAGAGTATGAGACCCTATGTAAAATAGAAGCTGACCAGAATGAATTCATCGACCAGTTCATTTTTCAGAAATGAAGGACTTGGAAACCAAACAGCAATGACCTTGGAAAACTTTACCATTCCAGTATACTAATAATTCCAAAAATATGCAGTTTTGCATAGTGTATGAATGAGCAAAATGGTTTGTACAAAGGAAAAAGCTTTTTTTAATTCTGTATGAACTCAAACTAAAATGGCAATAAGAAAGGGTTTCCCCCAGATGTAAATAAGACCAGTTCTAGCCTTTCACTACTTTTTAAAAAGTTTGGTATGGTCAGTAGTTTGAATTCAAATAAGTACTGCTGCTACTATGCGACTCCCTTACCTTTTGAAATGTACGGTACTTTCAGGTAAATCAGAAAAATAAATTATTGTTTTTAGACACTGCTTTGTTTTTATATTGCCTCTGGATGTCAGAGTCAGCTGCTACCGTTCATCTAATTTCTAGATTTAGAATTTTAAAACATTGTCTTCCTTAGACTTATTTAACTGGATTGTCACATCTAACAATTTCCTGGGGGCTATAGTAAAAAAGGCTTCAATTCTTAACGTGTGGAGTGATCAGAAGAGAATCAGTTACCACCTAAGGTTTTTTTGGGTGAGGAGGGGAAGAGCAGTTCATGATTAACAGATCTCTCAAACACCAAACCAGAACTGAGAACTGGTGTCAACTATAAGTGGGTTCTGCTGAAGTTTTCAAACCTGGATGTTTAAAGGTAATTCCAAGAGTGTACTTAGATCCTAAATAGGAATAGGCTGACTTCCAAAACTGCTGACTACCCACAAATCTCATGCAGATTAGCAGAAGTTACATGCACCTGAAATAAAACAGTTTAAATTATTACACGTGTATCTTTGTGCATCACTTTAGAGAGAGAGAGAGGTAGCCAGCTGTGCAACTATGGGTCTACTCTAGCTTCTGCCTAACTTTAAGCAACCAGCTGTGGGAATTGGTCTTCAGTTTAAACCACCACTACACAGGAGGCTGTATAGAAACATACTTGCAATGACTGAACAGTCTTCTCACTACATGTATTTAACATTTTCTTTTAGAGATTTAGAACTAGGCCAAAAGAGACAATGCTGTTTGCTGCAGCTTTGAAGTCTAAATCACAGAATTACTGCAAATGCCGTCTCCCAGAAGTCTCCCTGTTACTTCAAGTCATTTCCCTGAGATGCCGAATGGGATGCTAAGTCAGCTACTTCTGTGTATTTCCAGGCCTGAAACAGCGAATAATCCCAGTTCAGGAATCTTACAGAAAGACTTGCGCGGTAGACAGACTTGTTAGGTGGGCACTCTTCCCACTAAATTAAAAAGGCTAAAAACCAGGCAACCATGGTTGTTTCAATCTACTCTCTTTATTTCTTTTTCTTTTTCTCTACCTGGTTGTATTGGGGGCTGAATAGCATGGTAAACAGAATCAGGAGTGGGATCAGCAAATAGGGGATGTACACAGACATGAGGGTGAGGCGCTCCTGCTGGGCCTGAGGACCCTGCTGCTTAGATTGTGAGAAGTCGTGAAAGAGGATGTGGGCAAGGACAGGCAAGAGAGTTGTAGCTACATGAGTGGAGTAGATAATCGCAGGCGTCCGTATCCATTTACACCCACCTGTATTAGAGACAGAAGTGATGCATATTAATATTTTTTTTTCCAAACGAAGGGCAGTAGTCAATAGCTTTTCAACAAACAAACCCACAGTCCAGAACACCATGAATCCCAGTTGCAATGAGTACCAGGTCTAGTGAAAAACTGAATCTTGAGGGGGTTTTTTTAAGTGGAAGACTAACACCACAAACCCTATCAATACCTGCCTCAATAGGAGGTTAGAAAGAATGCACAAAGGAGTCCTGAGATGTCATGAAAGCATCAGAGCAAGCAGATTTACTATTTCCCAATATCAACAACATACACACTTGACTTCAGCGCTCACTTGCACTCTCTTCGCGCTAGACTAAGCAACCATGAGAAACCCTGCGTGTATTCTCTTTATCCCCAATTTACAGGTGAAGAAAATGAATTCATTAACCTGAAAAGTTACCTGAGATGCTTATGACCATCTGTTCTCTCCCCACTGACCATTACATAGAAATCTAGGATTTCCATTGATATTAAAGGGCTTTGAAATGAAAACGAGATCTGTTGTGCCATGCTGGAAAAGCAAAAGGGAGGTACATATCTCCCTGCATATTAAGTCAATTTGTTTCCTACTCTGCACTGCTTAGTAAGGAAATCTTTTATTGAAGTAGGACCCCCCCCCCCATGATACATATTTATAATGGCTCAAGTCAAAGCCTCTCTGTACCATAAAGCCACGTTTTTAAAGGAAAATGGTATGCAAAATATTGTTCTTCCATTCCCTGTATACCAACCTTTGAAAAATGCATAGGCTGCAAAGGGAAAGAAAGGCAACTGGAGGAAGGCTTCACAATAAACAAATGTCCTAAACCATGCGGGAGACTCCAGCATCATGGCATCTTTAAAGCTTTCCATATACCATTTTAACATCTCCGTCAGCTTAAAGGAAACACAAACAGCACATTAAAACTGTTACAGTTAACATTTTCAGCAACACAGTTTCATCTTTGTATATAAATCTTCACTTGTTCAACTGCCAGTATTAACAGGTGTTAAGTTCCTAAACATGGTGAATGCACTCCTTTAAAATGCACAGTGAATTCAGCAGCACTTTTTCTCTGTGAGATTATCGAGACCACCTTAAGTAGAGCCTCTCCAAAGTAAACAGCCACAGACTGCTCCTGATCAGTCATCTTTCACCTATGGAACAAGGCAGGTTTAGCAGATAGAAAAAGGATGTTTGTATTCCTGACCTTGCTCTATATGGCCAAAGTGGATCAGAAATGCACCAGTATTTAGGCATTTTTAGGTACAGATAGCTTCACAAGACTTAGCAGGTGCCATTAAGTCACTAAGAGTTTGGTGTCTAACTCCATTAGACACCAAATTCCTCTTGCAAATTCCTCCAGGCCTCTAACTAGTGTCAGGCGCCTAAGTACACATCACATATCTGACCAGTGATGTTTTGCACCGTCAGCTAACTAGATAAATTGGTCTGAATGCCAGAAAAGTACATTCAAACATGGCTTTGAGTTCAAAGTCCATTTAGATTTGCTAGCTAAATGTTAAATATGGATTCTATAATTGAGTTATCCTACTAGCTGGAAAGAAGGCCAAAATGAAGTCATTAAGTGTAAGCTACAGCTCCTCTCACCCACATAACAGAACAAGTCCAGTAGATTATGCTAATGAACTGAGGTCCATCTAAACTAACCATAGATTACTGATAATATGCACTGTACTCCATGCTACTGATCAAACTGCTATAACAATGATTCTTGGGGGGGGTTCAAATCAATAGAGACATATACTTTGGTTGTTCATACAAAATGTGACTGGCTCTAATATACAGCAGCCAGCTTTTTCTCTCCCCACGGCACACTTGCTACAGGTTATTCAACAGAAATTAAAACTCACATTAAGCAAGTGACAGTTATGGTCTCCTGCTATACTGCTTCCCGTGTCTTTGACATACCATAGTAGCCTTTTAAGACACTTAGTATAACATGTATAGAAATTATATTGTGTCACCCAGGTGTTCAAGTACTTCCAGGATAGAACAACTTTTGGTAGTAACTTACTATGCTATGAAAGTAGCAAAAGCAAGAGAAGTTTAGCAGATGTTTCTGGCTTTAAACTGACAATATCCTTTCAAATGGCAGAAGAAATAAATGTACATAGACTTCTCCTTTTATTTTGTTATCCAGCTGATTAGTGTAAACGATTAAAACTGAAACCGAGTGGACTGCACTCCATTCAAAACCTTGTCTAAGTTTTTCCTAACCATGCAGTTGGCCCACAATAAAAAGGCATCTCCCACAAAATCCTTGCCCCTCTCATACTTCCTGGACCATCGCAGCTACAACATTGCTCCAACACGGCTAATCCCAATGACACTTTGCAGACTTAGTGCCACGTGAGCTCTGTGCTGTTACAGCATTCACTCGGTGAATAAACAGAGAATGAAACATAATGGCATAGGGAACGAGAGATGAAATTTGTCTTAAAGATGCCACAAGATCAGGTGGATTAAGCTAAAGTCTAGTCAAAGTTATTGTGGTTCAAACCATAGCGCAGAATTAATTCCAAGTCCCTCTTATTTGTCCATCCCCATAGATTTTGTCCGGAGCAGCACACACAGTCACTGCATTGAGAGGCCCTCTGCATTGGCTGCTTACCTTCTGCGGGTAGACGGTACTTGCAGGCACAAGAATTTGCAGGTCTATCAGTAAGGTGATGGGGATATGACTGAGAAAATACAGGGCAAAAACCCATTCCAAGAAGCGAGTTGCAGCAGCCATGTCCTCGCAACAGCAGTGGGAGGAGCAGCTGCCCTCCTGCAACATCCCATCGTCCTCCTCCTTGGATTGGCTGTACGGCAGGCTGGGTTGCCTCCACTTGGTTCACAATTTAAAGGGCCAGTCATCTTACCAATCTAGACTGCTACACACATACTTTACTTTACTTGCACTTTGAGCTATTGTGCAAGACCCCAAAATACTTGATAAGGGGGGAAAACCCACTGTTTTGAGTTGGTATTAAAGATCCAACTGGCTGTATGCACACCATCCTCCAGCAATGCAACATAGGGTTGAAGAGCAAAGTTTAGAAAAGAAATTTTCTCCGTAAATTTTGGGTTAGAAGCAGTGGTTTTGAGAAGATGCTATTAAGTTTTAATATGAAACTACTCATGTTCACACTCTTATAATTCATTAGTCCTCCTGGCCGAGTCTAAATCGCTAACAAGCCTTACACTTTTTGCTGTACCTCTGATGAACTTCTTTCTGCAGAAGGATTTATGTTTTTTGCCAGGAACAGATACTAGGTCTAAATCTTCTAGACTGCTTTAAATAACTTGGTTCTTGAAGCTGAATGAACAAATGTCAGCACTAGTACCAAGACACTTTTGAGGTTTCGCCGGTTTTGTTCTTTTCTTCACCATACACTTAAAAACTTATTAATAGATTTGAATAACATCATAGAGCAGAAGTTACTTCATTTCTGAACGGGAAGTTACTATAGTAAAAGATCCAGGAACAGTAATCTTTTTTTTTTTTTATTTATTGTGCAGCAGTTGTACTATTCTTCCATTATCAAGATTACAAACAAAACTATTGAACAGAAATCTTACCTGGCTGGCACCAAGAGGGAAGGGACAGCACTGACACGAACTGCATTATATAAAACAATATATCGAAGAATATACATTTCAATGATCTCAAGATATTCTATTATTCAAATAAAGCATAATATAAGACTGGGAAAACTGCTGTGCAATGAACAGATGGCTTTAGTTTTACCAAATGTCCCAATACTGCCAGCAGCTCAAATGGGATCCAAGGATACATTTTGCATGTGCTCTTCTGATGTTATTTAACTGAAGTGTTTCCATTAGAAAGCCCTTCATTTTTAAAGGGCCTTTACATTTTTAAAAACACCTTCTCCGAGCTAAAATGTAATGCCAAGCCACGTCCTCTGCTGGTGTTAAGTCTTTAGAACAAGCATGCTGATTTATATCCACTGAGGATCTGGCTCCCAGGGACTGAAAGCAGGTCCCCATTGAGGTCAAAGCCAGGATTTCGTGCTCATGAGCATTTGATTTACAAGCAACTATCCAAATTGCAACTTGAAGACAGTACAGTCAACTATGGCTTGATTATTACACTTTTGCTGAAGCTCTGACTGTGTCCTTCCACATGTGGAAACAGTGGCTTTCATGGTGTGTGAGAATGAATGAACCAAAAAGATAAGTATATGTCTTTCAGTCCCTTCTTTCAGCTGTTGGCAAAGACAGGGAATGGACCAGCCCACCTGGAAGAAAAGTATTTACATGCGGGAGATGTACACAGAGTCAAAATTCAAAACATTCACCTTAAGTCAAGTTGTCAATGCAAGCAAAGAAAGTGTACTCACCGCACCCAGCATGCCAGGGAAAACATACAACTAGGTTGTAGCAACGGAATAGAAAATACGGAGTATAACGTGTTCTATACAGCCACCGCTTACAGCACCCTTGGCATAACCTGTACCTACTAACCCTCTACAGGCACCAGCAGGTGCTAGTCTGTTTGTCCACACTGAGAGGCAAGCTAACTTCAACAGCTAGGTAAACTGTGGTCTCTTAACTTGCAAAGGACTTTGGGCAACAGTAGTGAACAAGTAACGTACTTAGCACCATCACACTGTGTTCCCCTCCGCTTTAATTTCCTGTTGCTAAGTCAGAGGCTCTCACGGGCTGTAGCTGGGCACCACTGAGCTAGGTGTAACCAAACACTTATTGTGAAGTAAACACCCCTTCCTTTTTTCTTCTATTCTGTAGGCTTTAGGCCTAAACATTTTTAATGGAGGTAACTTGTATTTGATACAGCATCATAGATTTCAGACATTAGGGCTGGCAGGGACCTCAGAAGATCGAGTCCAGCCCCCTGCCCAGGGGCAGGAAGTCAGCTAGGGTCAAAGGGTCCCAGCAAGATAGGCGTCCAAATGTTTCTTAAATGAGACCAGGGTAGGTGCTTGCACCACCGCTGGAGGCTCCGGCAGTAAAGAAGTTTTTCCTTTGGATTTATCTCTTGCTGGGGTCCCTTGATCCCAGCTGACTTCTCGCCTATGGCAGGGGGGCTGGTCCCCATGATCTCGTGAGGTCCCTTCCAGCCCCTAATGTCTATGAAATCTAACGGCCAGCCTAAAACAGTCTTGGAGGAGTTTGTGACCGTTTGACCTTGTCATCCCTCGGGGTGCTCTGGTGAACAGATTTCCCCCCAGATCCTGATGCACACCCTGATGTACTTACAGGCAGCCCTAGGTCACCCCTGAGCCTTCGCTATTCCAGGCTGAAGAGCCCCATGGCTCTCAGCCTCTCATCATAAGCCCTGTTCTCTTGCCCTCTGATCATGCGTGTGGCTCTCCTCTGAACTGTCTCAAGCTTTTCCACATCCTTTTTAAATTGTGGAGCCCAGAATTGGATGTGGTAGTCACTTCAGCTGCGGCCTCATTGAGGCCGAGTATAGCAGGAGGATGACATCCTGGGATTTGCTTGAGAAGCATCTATGGATGCAAGCCAGAGGTTTTTTTGCTTTACCAGCTGCGACATTGCATTGGTGGCTCACATTCGTGTGGTCAATCATATCTCCAAGTCCCTTTCGGCCGTGGTGCTAGCAAGCATAGCACTGCCGAGCCTAAAAGCGTGATGCAGGTTTTTTCTCCAGAGGTAAGATGTCTTGCATTTTTCTGTATTGAATGTCATCAGGTTTTTATCCACCCATTTCCTAAGCCTGTCAAGGTCAGCCTGGATCACCAACCTATTCTCAGGTGTGGATGCTTTACCCCAAAAGGTACAATTTAAGTAACCGACACCTTTTAGAATTAATTTTTAGAAAAATTAAAGCAAACAAGTATTGTCCAACAGACTTGGCCGTTGTAAGGGCCTTTGATTGCCTTTTTTTTTTTTTTTTTTAAATAGCCTGGGCCAAACTATTTGCAGTACTTCATGTTCAGGTTGCCTTGGTAATCAGCAGGATCTCTCTAACTAATCATTAAGTTATATCTACAACAAGTTACTTGTTTTGTATTTCAACAATACTGGCTTCTTTAGTAGTATGTGTTGAGAAGTTTCGTAGGTAAATCAGCCAAAATGTTACAGCCTAAAGGGCCCTAAGACCTGATTAACTGTATGTTGGCAGCTTTCAGTTTTTGCACAAGTAGTGACTGTACTAACTGTTATCTTCAAGGAAGAGGTCTAGAATGGTATTGAGATTTTGCATTACATTAATCATAAGGCCCTTGGGAGATGTGCCAAACGAATGAGGCCAATGTCTTTGGATTGCTCTAAGAAGTAGTGAACAAGCACGAACCCATCCAGGAACATCATGCGTTTTAAAAGATACATTTCTGCAGACAGTTAGAGGTGCCAGTAGAATAGAGTTAAGCAAAGTTTGAGTTAAGCAAAATTGTCCAAAGAATCATGCTGTCAAGGGGTTCAAAGTGATTTGTGGAAAAAGGCTGCTGCCTGTAGGCGAGACAGCAGGCATTTAATACGTGGCTTAAGTCTTACACAAGCTAGTATAGCACAAGGTGTTTTTCATAAAGATATAATTATCATAACATCTTGAGCAATTCTGTCTACCTATCTCCAGGAAATAGTCACTACAAATGCGTGGCAGGGGGCTTTCCCTGATAACAATTTTTACTGAAAGAGAAAAACGATGTACATGTGTCTTGTTTGTCAAGTGCTGACCGTGTTATTTTAAGGT